GGCGCGAGCGGGCGGCGGGGCCTCGCGGCGCGACCGTTAACGGGGTGCTCTGAGGGGACGGGGGGCGCCCCCGCGGCGGGCCCTGAGGGGCGCCGGGCCGGTTCGGTTTCGTTAACGATTTCTTGTAAAATTAGCTTTTTTTTACGACTCGCTCCGCTCCGGCTCCTTTGGCAGGCTCGTAAAATTAGCGAGCGGCGCGGGCGCACCCCGGCAGCCGTGAGGGTCGCACCTGTGTGGCAGCCCTGGGGATGGCTGGGCGGGCGTCGAAGGCTCTGGCCCTCCAGCTCCTGGGCACAGTGCGTTTGGAAACTAGGAGGCAACGCCTGGGCGTTCTGCAGCCTGACGGCTTTACTCCACTTGAAGCCGGTACCACAGTTTCCCCAGAGTTTTCCGAGTTTGGAGGGAGCCTGTAATACAGACAGTTTTACCTCATGCTGCGGGTTCAGCACGATGACTTGCAGCTCCCCCTTGGTAACTTGTACCTCTGTACTTACAGGCAAAATCTTTTTTTTCTCTCTCTTAGGAGTGTGGTGCTTTAGTGAACTGTTTTTTGTGAAAGAGCCTCAGGACGTTACTGTCTCAAGGAAGGATCCAGTGGTTTTAGATTGCCAGGCCCGTGGTGAAGCTCCTATAACTATTACATGGCTGAAAAACGGAGGCAAAGTATCTGAAAACGAACGGATCTACATGTTATCCAATGGTTCGTTGTATATCAGTGAGGTGGAAGGAAAGAAAGGAGAACTGTCTGATGAAGGATTTTACCAGTGCTTAGCTCTGAACAAATATGGGGCCATTCTCAGTCAAAAAAGCCACCTCACGCTAGCAAGTAAGTTCCAGCTCTTGTTTATTAACCTGCTCCTGAGTTTGTGACAGCAATTCCCTGAACAGCGCATAACAACCCACCCTTTTGATTTTGTACCTGGAAAAACAAACTACCAAAGCAAAGAGCGAGTCAGCTCTGTTTCTTTGTTTCTTTTTAAATGTGCAAAGATTATAAGCAAAATTTGTGGTGGCCCCTTTTCAAGTCCCTGATGTGGCAGGAGCAGCATGGCCACCTATGAGACCTCTTGGGCAGCAGTGCCTTGTGTGGGTAGCTCATGTGGGTCCCTGGTCTCCAGAGCAGGTGGTGATGCAGAGCCGTGCTGGCAACCTGCTGCAAAGGTCCTGGGTCTTGTTTCTCAAGTGCTGTTCAGGCAGCCTGAGAAGGGTTATTTGCAAATCTGATAAATTATTATTCTTTGTTCAATCACTTAATGTTGCGTTCCATCTTTGGGCAGGGCAGAATGATGATAGAGATGGCTGTCTTTAGGAGGGGAAAGGTTTTCTGGGGAACCGTGACGCTTAAATTACCAAGCCCTTGCTTTTCTGACATGTGTGTTCAGCCAAGCAGATGCGGATGCTGTCCCTTGTGGAACTGCTTCAGGGTCCTCTGGAACCAGCCGTGAGGGCCTACTATGTGGTTCCACTAGGAAGTGAGAGACATATTTCTAGTGTGACTCCCTACTTTGGGTGAACGGTGAAGGAAATAGCTGTGTGTAAGTGCCTTTAACAGTCTGACCCTGAGTGTGTGTTGCCCTCCGTTTTCCTAGTGTCTCTAAACGTATTGAGTGAGGGATTTGTGTTAGGAACTGAATGCTATACCTTTTTCCATGCCTGTGTGGCACTTTGCCAGTAGGTTGCTTCTACAACACTATCTTTTTTCTTTCCAAAAGTACATGGAGTTATTTCAAAGAAAGCATAACAGAGAATACACAGCTTATGTAGTCTTCTCGTGTTCCCCCTATAATAGGACTTAACTGATGAACTTAATCTAATAGGAAAAGGCTTCCTTTGACCTCTTCAACTCTGTTCTTAGTAGCAAGTTGCACAAAACTGTGGCGCTGATACTTCTATGGAAGCTTGACGCTAATTGTAAATTGCAAGTTTTACTAAATTCAGTCTTGAACTAGTTAATACAACTGGTATGTTAGCTTACATTAAAAAACATCTCAGCATTAACATTTGTTCTGTGTGTTTCTGAACTGATAATAAATACCATCCGTGAGATACCTCAGAAAGGTGTGAAATACCTTGTTCAGTGACCTAGAGCACTGAGCAGTTGCAAACCAGCCTGGAAGCAGGTGGCTTCAAGTAAGTCGTGAGTTTTTCATGTACTGTAAAAGGCTGATCTGTGAACTGTCAATTTCAAAAACCTGGATACTTTTTACTTTGTATCATGGCATCCTACTTGCATACAGGATTAATAGACCAAGAAGTTCTTGGATACTTTTGATAAAATGATGAAAAACAAAGTATTAAATGCACCATTATTAAACAGACTGAAGAAAACCTTTCTTAAGAAGGTAGGAATTTTGTTGTTAACAAATGCTGTTAATAAAGCAGTGGCTGATGGATTCTCTGTGTAGGACTGGAAAATTCAGGGCCATTTTAAATCTGAGACATTGCAGGATGAGCTCTGTGCTCAATATCGGAGAACTTCTGCAATAGTGTGGAGCTTTATAGTGGTACAGCATATTAATACTCTTGTAGCATCTAGTTTTATTCAGAAAGTACTGAACTTTTACAAATGTTTGTTTCTTGCATGCACATGATTTCACCAGAATGATGATTTAATTTAGTTTTGGGTTTTTTTGATTATGAAAAATTTTCACATAAGAAGAGTTGTGAACCAATAGGTTGCATGCTGTGGAGTGAGACTCTTGTTTTGCAGCCCTTTCTTTTTCTCTCTTTTTTTTTTTTTCTTTTTTTCTTTTATTCTCCCCTTCCCTCTAAGACTGTGACAAAAGGTTTGTTTTTCTTCTTTGAATACTTGAAAGTTTCCTATGGCTGTTGGAGAAAACTGGAAAAGATAGTGGATCTATAATGATCACAGTAGGTGTTGTTGACTTAGTGATTAAGTGGTTAACTAGTGGCCAAACATGAAGTTATCCTATGTAGCAGCCTCTTCTTCTTAGTCATATTCCAATCTGACTGGTTTCAGAATGTCATCTTTACTGTAAAGCTGTGAAATAAAGCAGTAATTTGTATTGTTATATTTGAAGCTCATAAAATGTGCAAAATTAGTTTTATATCTCATTTTTACAGTGTTTCTGCTTACTATCACGAGTTGATTGAACTTTGCAGATGTTTTAAGTGAAATTAATTAAAGTCGTGTGGTGGATTTTATAGGTTTATGATTTTGTAGGTTTATAGTTTTATTTTAAGCAGTTTTTGGTTTCTGTGAAGGGAAATTACCTTGTGGTTAGGGTACAGAAGGAACTATACATATTAAACAGGTGGAGAATAGGCATTAAATGGGCATTCTTTCTTTGGAGGAAAAAAGCAAATGCTCTCTTCAGTCTCTGGTAGCAGCAGGGTGCGAGGATGTTCTTTTACTTTGCCTGGTCAGAGCTTTTGCCAGTAAGCTTATCTTTTGCTTCAGAATTGTAATGTTTAGTGTTGCATTTGGAAATCAAAAACTTTAATCTGTCCAAGAGTTTAAGATTTGAACACACAAGGAGATCAGGTCTTGGTTTCTAAAGTTAGGAACTGGAAGCTGAAGGTTGCACTCTTGGCAAGAATTCCATTATTCATGTGCAAATTAAGAATTCACAGGGTTAAAAGGTTAGAAACTGGCCAGGATGAGGTTTACCCTTGTGATAAAGAGCAGATGACCCTCATTCATTGGCCAAAGCTTTCATGTAGCTCCTCTGCAAAGTTAGTGATTGCCATGAATTGTTCTTGAGGAATGCAGAAATTCAAATGTGAGCAGGCCTTTCCTTAAGTGTCACTATGGAGCCTTATCTCCCGAGCACATCAGAGTAGGTCTGCAGGGACAGGGTTCCTCCCCAGAGGCCCCAAGGCTTTGCTTTCCTGTTGTTCATCCATGCACAAAAGAATTTGACTAATTTAGGGCTTTTTTTCATGAGATACCCCTACTTTTTTAAAGGAAACTGTGGGGCAGAGGTATTGCTTAGGTAAAAATAAATATTAGTTTCACTACATGCTTGTAGTTGCTTCCAAAGTAGGCTAATTGATGGGGGGGGGGAGGAGTGGAGGAGGTTCCTGTGTGGTTCTTTGTGAGGCAACATGTGGGGGTAAAATGCTAATAGTGAAGAGTATGACTTACTCAAAATTCAACTTGCTGCTGCCAGTGCTACTAACAGGGGACTCTTTTAATGGTATATAAAAAGAATGTAGACTGTGGAGAAAGTCTAAGCACTTTTGGTACAGCTTTGAATCAGACAAAACTAAACGAGCTGAGTTTGTTGTATTCTTGCATTTTTAAATTATGACTATTTAACCACAGTTAACTAAGATTCTGTCTAAAAATAAAGCTAGGCTTCCAATAAGATAGTATTAAGAAGAAATGGAGAAGGTGGATCGTGTTCTGAAGCTGGTAACGTGGGCTTTGGGCAGTGATTGGACAGGATGCTCATTGTTTATTTCTTTTTCATAAAAAGTGGAAATTGAAGTCTTAAGATGGTTGGATTGGATATATACAGCTGGGTACAAGCATTCCTAGATAACCCTTTCTCCTCTTGTGACTTGGCTGAATTGATTTTAATGTTTGTGAATTACAGGAAACGTTAGGCCGACTCTTCATGTATGGGTTTCTACATTTCACAAGAGTGAAAGGTTACGCAAGCAGAAGGTTTCTGGGAACATGCTCCTGGAGGGAAGCAGTGTGTGCACACTGCGCTGCAGTTTTGAAACGCTGGGCCTTTTACGTGTAGCAGGTTATACTTTGTGGAGGCTTTGCAATTTTGTATATCTGCTGTCACAGTGATAAGACTTCTGGTCCCACTGTCTACCAATAATTGGCAATATTTATGTTTTGATATCCTAATAACATCTTTTGCTCTGCTTTTGAGTATTTGCACTTAAGAGTGGATCCAGCTGAGCCTTATTCTGTACTGTGACAATCATGTTTTCTTAGCAGTTCCAGCTGTTTGTTCCCACTTTTGCATTGTGCCCTTCCTTGTGTGGGCACAGCTGCATATGTGGTTAACTGAAGGGGGAACTGATCTGGGTTAAAATAATAGAATTAAAACAAAAGATGGTGTTTAACCTAAATGAGTTCCCTGATGTGGTTTGTCACAGAGCCACTCACAGTCATTGCACTGGTGTAACTGAGAGGAATGATGCGGAGGTGGGAAGGCTTAGTGAGTACAGAGGAAGGCTACTGAAACTTAGACTGTTGCAAAAATACGTGTTCATCAAACTACTGCCTTCATGGAGCATGTGTGTAGGCAAAAAATTTGCCCTTCTGCTACTCTTTTTTTTTTTTTTAATTAAGTCTAGTATCTTGCCTGAAATTAAGGGATTAATAGCTGTGGTCTAACAATATAGTTTTTTGTTTTGTATGGAATCTGTCATTTGAGGTGTCTTCAAAGTGTATATGGAGCTCAAAGTTATTTTAAACAGTAATGGGGAGAGGAATAAATTCTGAGATGGAAGGATGGGATTGGAAGGCAGAAATGGTTTTTGACTGAGGTGGAAGTGAAATGGCAAATGGCTGTTGTAGACAACGGTCTTGTATTAAAAGAGATAACAAAGTCTTAATGCTGTAGAACTACTGTGGTGACAGACAGTTTGAGGAAGCTCCTGGTTTTGATTTTCACAGTGCTGCCTTAGTCCTAATGCTTTGGTTAGTTGATTTGAATGTCCCGAGAGAAGAATCCATTTCTAAGCTGAGAGTGCACATGGCTGATCCTCGGTGCATTTAAATTCCAGTATTTAAGGCAGGAGGGGGACGTTTAATCTCTCAGTTGGCAATATCAGTTGATAACAGTGAAGAAGAGCAGTAAGATTTTATTGTTACACTGAAGAAAGAAGAAAATTGGG